CTATAACAGAGACGTCAGATCATAGCTATAGAACACACTCTTCAGTGTACCCTCAATATGGATATACCCTCTGCCTTGCTTTCAATATGTACTACATATAATATATAGTATGTGCCAGGATATTGTGTTTAAATTGGTCTATCCACAGAATGTGCTAGGAAAGGGCTGCTATGTTGTCATAATATATGTTTATTGGTATTTATTTACATGTTTTATTGATCATATTTTGCTCAACGCAAACAACCTTCTTTGGATCATTGGTTTCTTACATCTGTGTATAAAAGTACACTCAAACTTATATAAGTTTGTCTATAGCATTAGACTGCAGTCTGCCCAATTATTTCAGGTCCTCAGAATCCATGTCCAAAAGAAAAGATCTGCACTTGCCATTTAGAAAGTCAACAATATATAAACATATATGAAGATTATTCATCAATAAAGAAAAATGAAATGATAGAATTTGCATAAAAATGAAGTTGGAAAATACTTTAGTGAGTTATCCCAGCCTCAGAGACAAACACATGCAAATCTTTAACTTGTGAATTTTATCTGTATGTGATATGAACTACAAGTGTGTGTAGATGTCAGGAAGTTAGACAGCTGCCCACAAGAGGGAAAGGCAGCATTAGGAGGATGTGTGGAAGGGAACAAAGCACATGACCTGGAAGTGGAAGGGGGATTCTGGGAGAAAAGTGGTTTCCTTAAGAATGGGAAATAAGGAGATGGCAGAGGGGATTAGCATGGGGAAGGGTCAACCAAAAGTAAATATGTATGAAATTGTTCTAGAGAAAGCAGCTAGTTGATAAACATGTTTTTCAAAATTAGAAAACAAATACTCTTTTAATTGAAAGATTTTAAAAAGCAAGCAAGTCAGAGTGCTGTAGAGGTGACGGTGGTCTTTATGACATGGCATATGGAGATTCTCATAGTCATGTGCATTTAGTCCAGCTCACCCAGATTGGCACATAAAGTGTGTGTACATTGTTGTACAAACTTCAATGTGAGAGAAGAGTGGAAAATATTCCATCTAAACCAATTGTGTGCCTTTCTCTTTAGGACTGGCCATTTTCCAAATGTCATTTACTTTCCTAATCAATCAAACCCTCTCTACTCTTGCTCTTATTTCCCATTTAACATAGAAAAGAAACAGAGTTTCAACAGACTGTGGTATGTGCTCTATCTAAGACCTTCCTGGGTCCCAGTGGGTTTAGGTGCAGTCTGTATGTGCCTGGAGAACACTGTGTGCTCACTGCACACAGGTAGACAGCTGAGTCACTTGGCTGCGAGTCTCTGATGTACAGGATTATATGCAGGCTGGGTTTATTGAGGTGAGAGGTGAATAATTGTAAATCTTCCTTCTTCCTTTTCACCATTGGAGATGATGGTCATCAGAGCCTTGGGGCTTTTCCCAGGATACTGTCTGTACCACAAGAAGTAATCAGTATTATAATCATTGAAAGTGCTGGTGAGAGAGGCCATGGCACCCTCAGGGACACTGAAGGATTCTGAGTTCTGCTGCACCTTCTGCTGACTGCTCACGCCTGTGCAGAAAGACAGAGGTCAGACACACAGGACTGGATGCATATGGATGCTAACAGCCCAGAAGCGCTTTTCCATGGGCCTCCCAGCTGCTTTTGTTGCAGCATGAGAACATTGGTATTTCTCCCCTTCATCCTATAACATGTGAATGCAACACCCTCACTTAATGTATTTTCATGTTCCCATAGAAATGGTCAAACTCACCCCTCACTTGAAGCCAGAGCACCACTATCGAAACACTTAAGGGATGCATTATTGTTTTCACTGAATATTCACAATTCAATCATAACAAAAGGACTGGAATTAGGGAGTTCAAATTCTTCTGCTGTAAACTGGATAAAAGAGAAAAAGCCCAAACTATTTATCCAATTAGAAAGAAGGTCCTAGTTTTCACTGCCACATCCAAAGCCCTCCTCCTTCTCTCACTAACCACCCCCAGACACAGATGCAAAAGACCATGGGAGAAGCAGGCATCTGGATCTCTATGAAGATACTACCATCGCGTGGATTCACATTAGTTCCAAAGAAATAACTTAATCAAAGACTCTTCTTAGGTAAACTATTAAAACAAGCAACAGTATAGTCAGATAAAAGTTTAAGGATTTGTTCACATTTATGTATGAGTATGTTTATGCAAACATTTTTCAGAAAATGGCAACTTATTTTCAGCAAATAAAAGTTATTTCACTAGTCACTTTTCTGTAACAATCAAATAATGGTTTATGTTCTTTATCTATTTTCTGTGTCAGCTCATACAGCCCTCCACTGTTCCTTCATCATCAATATTAAGTTTTCTGTAATTAAAAAGATCTGTTTAAAATAAAATAGCTTTAAATGTGTCTTAACAAACATGGCTCTAGCTCACAGCCTAGCTATGTTTTATTCATGTGTCTGTCTATTTATTCATTCATTTCTTTTTGTACATGTTATGCTGTGTTTGTGTTGGTGTTTGTGTGCAGGGGTATGTGAACTCCTCAGTGTTTATATGTGTATTTGTGGATAGGTTAGAGGTCAACATCAGTTGTTTTCTTTGATTACTCTTCACCTTGTTTTATTATTTAAGGCACATTAAAAACAACCTTGATCCCCCAATTAGAAAACAACTGTCCTGAATGTCCCTGTTGCATAAAAAAAAACGCTACACTTCTTCCCAGCCCACCCTCTTTCATACACAGACACAAACACAGCCTCTGGGTCTCTCTGAACCTAGAGCTCAGCATTATAGCCTGGCTTATCAATGGACTCCACGGACTGCACTGGTTAGGTCCTCAACAGTGCTAGGGCTACACAAGTGGGTACAGTTCTGGATTGTATTGTGTTCTGGGTATCCAGACACAGTTCTTCATGCTGGTGATTAAGCCATCTCTCCAGGCTCTTTTTTATTACTTGTACTAACTATAAAAATACTGTGCTTATTGTAACATTTTAATACACAATTCACTTCCCATTTCCATCTTTTACAATCATTTGTGGATAGCTGAGATAATTCCATATTTGGTTAATGTGAACTGTACCAAAAGAGCATGATATGCACATATCCTTATTGTGAACTGAGTTTGATTCCTTAAGATGCACAGCTAGGTGTGGTAAGGCTGGGTTATGTGGAATTTGCATTTTTAGGGGATTATCAGCAATGAAACTCTATACTGATTTATGTAATAGTATCACAAATTTATATTCTGATCAACTACCTCCAAGAGTTCACTTCTCACCATGTCTACAAACATCACTGCCTTTTGTTTTCTTTATGATAGCCATTATTTTGGGGCTAAGATGGATCCTCAGCATAGATTTTATTCGATCAGCTCTTTCTTCAGCAAGGTGATAATAAAAGTGCTTGCAATTCTCCATACACCAGTAACAAACATCCATGGCAGGGAAGCCAGTGATCACCTAGGGAGCATTATGTTCCATTCCTGAGACAAACAGAGAAGACAACATCCTAGAAAGACAAGACAGAGCTGTGGTAAAAGCAAAAGCATAAGCTTTATTCACTGGAATGGGCCGGTACTCAAGGCTAATCAGCTAATTGGTCTTTGGCTATGGAGCTTTATTAGGCTTATGTGTCTTCTCTCCACTGTGGGTCCTGTTCAGGTACCCGACCCCTTGCCTTCCCACCAGTTCAACTTAAGGTGTCTTCTGGGAACAAGAAGTTGACATCTCATGAAGTTTACTTTTGCATTCCCTTCTGTTTATACTCCTCTAACTCTTTCTCAGCCACACCCCTGGGAGATCAGCCACAACTGTTGCCAAAAATGGGGCCTAGATTGCTCTAGAAACTAAACCCGTCCCTCCCATATCATGCACTGAAAGTTCTTTCTTTTGACAACACTTGGCAAAAATTTTGAAGCACCTACGAAACTCCTGGCCCTGAAATACCTACTGAAGATTAATTCATCAACAAACCAGTGCAACTCACAGTTATGGAGTCTTTCTAAATGATTGGTTTCTGCATACTCTGGGCAATGGGCATTTGTGGATGATCTTTCTCAGCGTTTTTGTTGGTGCTGCATACAGAGGCTCCTGATGGTTGAAAGCAGATTTCCTATCCTCCATGTTGTTGAACTCATTGATAATTTGAAGGAAATATCTAGTAGAATTTTTGGGATGTCTTATATGTACTATAACATGATAATAATTGGATATATTTTTCCTATTTGTATCCCTTTGATATGCATGACCTATAGTGTTGCTCATTATGGCTACTCTCTGGACAAAGAACTACAACTAAGGAGAGGGGGGATTGTGGAGGAGTGTGGGAGAATGGGCCGGAGAGGGAACTGGGTTTCACATGTGAAGCAAGCTATTTAAAATTAAATTAATAAAAAAGTTTAAAAAACAAATCCCCTTTCTAAAGAGAAATTCATTTTATAACTTCTGTAAATCTAGACATCCCTGACTAACCTATCAGGCTTGTAGGGAGAACAGTCTAGAGTAGTGAGTGTCTCATAATAGACTCAGCTCACTTACAAATGTCCAATTGCCAACTTTCCTTAAACTTAGACTTCTTCAGTTGCTTTCTCCTCCTCCATTTCCTCACCGAATTTCTTGGCAGGCATTTTCTCTCATATTTCTGGGTATGGGTATTAAGGACTATTCTTGGGCAGTGCTTGCAAAATTAGGGTTAAACTCTGCATGGCTGAAGTACTGAAAACACTCTGAAAAAGAAAAGAGAAATCTCTAACTTTGGAAGAAGGAGGTGCTGAAAGGCAACCCCTGTATCACAGGAGAGACTACTGGAAAGGAAACCCCAGCTTTGTTCTGTTCAGGGAGAATGAATGAGCAAGGAGTGAAAGGCTGTGCCCTGTGACATCAGCAGTCCCATCTGGAAATTCTATTGTGTCCTGGAGATCTCTTGGAATCCCATGATGTCACTTGTGTTGTAGCAACACTGGCTGCTCTTAGGACAGTTGTTCATTGCCTGTAAGGTCATTTATAGAAATGTTTTCAAGACTGTGAAGTATATTTGGGAGGAGGAATGGACAACGTGGAGAGACCAGAGTGAGGAAGAAGGAAGCAGGCCCTAGGTCTCACTGGAAAACATGGTTCTGGGGAAGACACCGTGAGTTCAAGGAAGGGACTGTGGGCACTCTGTGTGTGACAGCCTTGAGCCTTCCAGGGATAAGGCTCAGGAACTGGGAGCTGCTGGGAAGCAACAGACCTATCCTGCTTCTCTGGTTTCCTAAAGGATTCACCCACATCAAGGATTCATGAATATTGTTTAGACAGAGTCAGGAATTGACAAGAATCTAGAGTTTGTGCTGGGGATCCTCTGTTTTCATGGTGAGGGGAGAATGAGGTACAGGGGAGTCAATGAGATTTCAATACCTTCGCTGTACTTTGCCTACACTGGAGCCCGATATGTTGACTGACAATGATTAAAGGGAAAGAAGTGAGCCTTGGCAATGGTTGAGTTTGTTATGCTTTACATCACTGCCACTAGCAGGGCTCAGCTACAAAGTGCAGCTGTCTTCCAGTGACCCCTAAGGTTTCCATTTTTCCAGGTATGGTGGCTCAAAGGTCTCCAGTTCAGCTGAGAACTATTAGAGCCCATGAACAAGGTCAGAGACTGCCCCTTTCTTCAAGCTCTGGGTATCCTGGGCTATTAGTAAGGATGGGCTCTGAGTCAGGGGACTATGTTCTGCCACTGTGTAGCTTCTCCATTAACGTGAGAGTCTGAAGCATCAAGTAATTTATGAGGTCATCCCTATTCTACCTGAGTGAATGTGACGGTAGCAATTAGCTCCAGGCTTCTTAAAGCACATGACTGAAGGCTCTAAACCCAAGGTACATTCTCTGAGGCTGTGAATAAGATTTAGGAGTCTGTCCCCTGGGTCACCTGCTGCAGGGATACAGAAGAAAGCAGGTAACTGTTGAGACACTCCATCCCTATAGAAATAACTGGCATCCACAGAGATGAAGACACAATTCTGGTCTTTCAGAACCTGCTAGTGTACAGTGTCATCTATCAGTCACTTCCTGAGCATCCTTCATTGTGTCAGACTAGCCTGAGTTGAGGTAGTGTGTAGGGAAGGTGCTGTCATTTGACTTGTAGAATTGGGTATTACTGAGATACCTAACCTTGTCTAACATGGTTGTCAGTGTGATGTAATATAGGAATGGATTTATTTTACCCAACATTACTCATTTGCTTTGTGGTTCATCAAGCACATGTTGCAAGCCCTATCCTGACCTCTGGAGACTTTTCTATCCAGGCAGAGCATGGTGCTAACCCTTCATTTCAGCACTGCCAGGAAATTCTAAAGTGTAAACCTGGGGGTAATGGGGGTGATTTTCATCAATTATGGAATTTATCTTGTTCTCACAGGACAACTACAGTCCCCGCCACAACAATATATTGTACCAGCCATGTGGATTATCTGCATTGTGCTTGTCATCTTTAGGGGACTGAAATCTCCTGTCCACATTCCCAAGTTATTTACCTAGAAATATTTATTTCTCTTGTTATTGATTAGAGATCTCTACAAGGGGCTGAAACATATCCTGTGATGTTTTTGGAAGTGAGTCTTCAACTTGCATATAAGAAGTTGTGAATATATTCTTATGAAGCACAGAGAGAGGCCTCTGGCTTTATAATGAGGACATAGTGAAGGTCTTCCATTATGTATCTATGGAAGTTCCTGGGTAGGGCTGTATTACTTCCAGTGAATTGCAGAATCTAGTTATTAGGTAGGTGAGGAGTTCTGGTGACACTAACTGTCCCTTCTCTGGACAATTCTATTTTATTTTGGAGAGCACTTGGTGTTCCCTGTGATATCACCAGTATTCAGGGAACACCAAGTGTCTGTGGGATATGCTTAAAGTGTCCTTAGACATGTTTGCAAGCCTGAGCGGAGATAATTGAGAACATGGGAAGTCCAGAGTGGCAGAAGGAAGCTGACCTTTGGTCTCAGTGTAAAACATGAAGGAATAAATAGTTCTGGGAAAAGTATAGTGAGTCCTGGTCAGGAGATGGGTCGCTTCCTGAAGCAGGTGGAGCTTGAGCTAGGACTTACAGTTGTGGGGCTTAGCATCTTGGAAGGAATGGGCTTAACCTGCTTTTATCTGGTTTTCCTCAGAGCAGGCCCACAGTAAATATTTCTGATAGTTAGTGTGATAGAGACATGAACTGTCAAACCTGTAGCTGCTTTTCTGGGAGATCCCCACTCTACTTTTGAGTGAGAAGGAAGGCCAGCAGAAGAAAAGGGGTGACTAAAAGTCTTCTCTCTCAGGGTGTGGTGTTCATCCTATTGAATTCCTTCAGTTCACATGGGAATTGATGCTAATAAGGAGGGAGCGAAACTCCCCTGGCCATGCACCAATACCTCAGGTGAGTTTGTTCTGTATAAATTGATGAGAACTTGATGCTGCTAACTCTAGGGACAACAGCACTTACCTGCATCATATTAGAAAAGAGATGACACTCTCTTCAAATCTACACAGCTGGACTAGCTTTTTGTCTTCCAGGAACAGGGGACTAAGTCTCTGAATGAGGCACATGACTAGTCATGGTGTTTGAAATGAGAGGTTTACCTCATGGACACCAGTATGAGCATAGCTGCCCTGTCCTCTTTGGAGTTCACTGGGTCCCTAGCATTCACTCTTCTTTGGGCTTCTTCTTGGTACTCAGCATAGACACTCCTGGCCCTATGCCATTCAAGTATTCCAGTTCACTTGTATTTATCTGCCTGCAGGGACTACTGAGGAGGCACCATCCCAACTCTCTACTTTCACAAAGCAGGACAAGCAGATAGAGAAGCTGGAGGAACTTACCATTAAGCTACAGAGTATAAAAAATGAGCAAATTGAGCTGAGTGCAATCCTGGAAAGCTATACCAAGATAGATTTTTATAACAGGTAATCATTACTCTCAGTTCTCTGACTCCACAGTGTCAATCAAGATTTCCTAAGTTCAAGAGGCTAACGAATCAGGGTGGCCTGGTGCATAAACTAATTTTCCTGTGCACATGAGAGGCAGAACTTGGAACCTGGGTAGTCACAAGATGTGCGCACAGGATCCTCTGGTTCCTCCAAATGAAAAGCAGAACCTGTGACTTGAATCACAGTATGGGGATCAGGACAGCAATGTTGACATTCATTGAAAGAGGCCTTGACTGGTGCTGGCTTGAGGGACACACTAGGTGAGCCTTTCTGCTTGACCAGAAGGCGATTGAGTGCTAAAAGCTCCTGGCAGCACCAGGATGGGGCTGGTAACATTCATAAATCTCAGTTTGTGACTGGAAGGCCTGAAGCTCATCACTGCTACACTCTGGTTTCTTCTTTATATTATAAGAAAGTGACACCACCCTGCATTTCATGGACATCCTGATTGTATGTAGGAGCAGAAGAGAATGCCTGTGCATGCGTGTGTGTGTGTGTGTGTGTGTGTGTGTGTACGTTTGTATGTGTGTGTGTAAGTGTGTGTTTTCTGCATGATCTAAGGTTTTGCCATTCTCACAGTTTCCATGGAATGCATGTGTTGTGGCCACCTCGATCCGCATATCTCTTGGCCACTGTGCTCACATTGGTGGAACATTGCAATCCCCTGTAGCATTTATAAAACTACCCTGAATTTGGGACTCCTTCCTGGAAATACTGATAGTGTGCTCTGTTCCTCTGTGTAGCAATAGGCACACAGGAATGAGAATCCCTCTTCTAAAGACAGGAGAAATGTCATCAGATGTTTCTGTTGAGCAAAGATATGTGGTAGAGATTCCAGGGAACATCGTAGAGAGATAATCTATAGAACAAGCACACAAAGGGTGCCCATATGGGCCTCGCTAACTCCCTTCAGACACCATGCCTCTTCTAGCCTGGGGAGAGGATATAAAATATTTTAAGCACTAGGAGGCCCCAGTGAATCAGTGCTAGTCTGTTGAGTCCACAAGGCTGAGGTAGTCCAGGACAGCCTGATTTCATATGATCCATGAGGTTCATGGGATTCTTTTCTCCTGGGGCCATGCCCTATCCCAGGCTGAAATCTTTTGAGATGATGAAAAAGGTGCATAAGCAGGTAATGTGTGACCTTCAGAGATTTCCCTTGGAGATCAGTGATAACCTGAATAAGTGCAAGCAGCTGATTGAGGAGAACAACAAATGCTACAGGTAAGAGCCAGATTAAATTTATGAATGGCTGATTCTGCTCTCTTTGTCTTTGACTCAAAGTGGAGGCTCTGGTTCTAGCCTGTCTGCCTCATAGCATCTCTCTCCTTGTTGCCCTTGGACCTGTACCTCTTGGACTGTTTTTACTAAGTGTGAAAAGACACTGAGTCCCTCCCAGAAATGTCCTACATAGGAGCCTCTACATAAAATATGTTTTACACCATGAAGGGGGTGTCAGGATGCCCAGGGACTCTCAGGCTCTGACAGGGGATTCACAGTGTTGATACCATGTAACCGACAGACAGAATTTATTCTGGTTGGGATTTTTGCCCTCCCCAAGAGAGAATTAGCCCTCTATCTGGTGATGCTTTCCGAATACTATGAATAGGTAAACAAAGATGTGGGCTTCATGCTGTTCTCAGGGATGCAGTAAAGCTCTTGGTGCCAGGGTTTTCAGAAGTACTTTAAATTTTCTGGAAATTGGTTGTTTTCTTGATTTGACCTTCTCCCAAGTGATGCTGGCTTTACTACTGTCAGTTTTGTCTTGGAACCTGGGACTTTTAAGGGGTGGTGATACTTGGAGTTTGGGATGGCAAATGGAGCCTATTTGGGACTTACCATTTTTTGGATGTTGGTTCAGTTTCCTCCACAGAATTGGCCTACCAGATTTGACTCAGTTGAAAAACAATGTCAATGCGTTGAAACAGGAGAATGAAAAGCTGTCGGAGGAGCAGATTGCACTGCAAGAGACCTGTGAGGAGGTGAAGAAGCTCCTTAAGGAGGTGCAGGAGAAGATCTGTGACCCCTGTGCTGAGCAGCATCAGGTAGGCTGAGTCAGTGGGGCACACAGCACATCTGTCCAACCATAAAAGAGTCTCTCATGAATTAATGCACCTACCCAATTTGACATCTACCAAATACCATGCAATTGTTCATTTCTGTGATCATTCACAAGTCTCTCTGGAGAGATATACTCTTGCAAGAAATTGATTGGCAAGGAAATTCTCCTGCTCTGATGGAACTCTCAGTACAGTCAGTCACATATCACATGTCATTGTATAAGCAGGGTCTCTATGCAGGGAGCTAGGTAGGGAACAGCCCAGGGACTTCATGGATGAGGTCAGGGCCTGTGCCTCATTTGCTTTGCAGTTGTTACCTAAGATCACAGGTAGGAAGCAGTTTGGAAGAACTGGATCCTAGTGTCAATGTCAAATGAATGGTTCTCACTGTCAACTTTGTGGTGTGATCTACTTCTTTTTTCCTACATCCCAATGTGTTCTCTACCCTTTGCTCAACACTTTGTTCACACTGACAAATGTCAGAGTACCATCTTTTCCACCCTGTTTTCTGTGGGTGGTGCTGGATATTTCTCACTTCCTGGAGCTTCCAGTCTGGAGCTAACTGGATGACCATAAAGGTGGGAAAATTTGACTGGCTGAATGTTGGGGTGACAGATTTGAGGCTTCAAGAGAACACTGTCTCCAATCATTTCACAATTGTTTGCCGAAGCTATGTGCTCCCCTGGGAATTACTGCTCCCCTAGGGATGGATGGCAGTGCTGTGGGTCTCACTGAAACACCTAATGTGCATAGGCTAAATTCAGTTGTTCATTAAGCATGATGACCTCCTCATTTCTTTCTGCTCCATTATTGTTTATGTAGTCTTGGTGTGATGTTTGCATGCATGAGTAGATGCGTGCAATGTGTGTGTGTGTTTTTCCAGGCCAGATAATGACCTATGATGCTGTGCTCCTCTTTCCCTTATTCCCTTGAGCCCAGGTCTCTCAGGGAACCTGAAATCTGCTATTTTGGTTAATCTGGCTTTACAGTAATCTTTGGATCTCTTGTGACCAACAAGTTGGATCATCTCTCTTGTTTTCTGTCCTCTAACTGCTCTAAGTTTCAACAGAAAAGATAGAGGAAAGATGTAGTACTTGTGTCTTAATTATACTCCTATTTATTGTTTTGTAATTAATGTATTTTATAATAGACAATAATAAAAATAAAACAATACAGCAATTAAAAAAGGAATAGACTTATGTTCTTTCACTGCACAGACCTAACAGCACAGGAAGTGTCCGGTTTGATCTCATTGGCTTCACAACACGGAATCTCATAGTGCATCTCCTTGCGGACATTGTGGTACTGACTGTGTCATGGTCGTGGTTGTGTCTTAAAGCACATTCCCTCTCATGATTGGGCAAAGTGCCGCATTCCAGAAAAGTACTGCAGGTGACATGCAATTGTTTGTCTCTGATTTAGTCAACCTCACACAAATCCCTGACACAATCACCTGTTGTGGGATTCCTGCCTGGGTTCTGTTATCCACTTCTAGTATCATTATGTAATGTGTTGCCTTCTGCATCTGCCTGGGCCCTCGTACAATTTCAGTCCCCAAGTAACACACAAGAAACTATATTAATTATGAAACTGTTGGCCGTTTGCTTGTTTCTTACTGGCTAGCACTGACTTAAGTATTTAACCCATAATTGTCATTCTAAGTATTTTTTTAGCAGAGAAATGGGTCCAGACCTCTTACTCTGGTGGCGTACATCTCTGCCTCTCTTTTCCAGAATCCTCTTGCACTCCTATTCCAAGCTTTCTTGTCTTGCTTACCTATTGGCCAACAGTGCTCTATTAAACAAAGAATAACAGACAGATTTATAGAATGACATCTCTCATCAATCACCTTACAGGGAAAAATGTTATTTTTCACTCCTGGTTGTAGACATTTTCTAGAATGCTTAGGTCATTTCTTTTGGACTTGAAGTGAGGCAGTCTGTGCTAAAAGCTGCTCCTCTTGAAGGAAGCTGCTCACCTTGGTGGAAAGTGGAATGCAGTGAATAAGATGAGTGGCCTGATCCACCACCATCCAGTGCTCTTGTGATGGGGAACATCCCTATAATGCACATTCTGGGAACATCCTAAGCAGGGTTGGCTAACAGGTCAGGAACCCAGATGTCCACCTGTCTGTGCATTAGGTTTACCGACTAGACATTTCAATGACTGTGCTGTCTATCATGCCCACTGTGTCATCCAACAAATGTTTACCTTCTTCTCAATAGTATACCTGATAATTGCTCCTTACATCAGCATTAACTGGTAAACCAAACATGTGACTGCATTACAGTGTTCTTGTATGTGTGCCTAGATGTTCTTGTGTGTGCTCATGAGTTTATGTGTATGCTTATGGAGGAGCAACCCTACACTGAGAACAAAAACTTCTAATGAACAGGAAGAAGAAAGCCTGGATGAAAGACCAAAGATCCTGATGAAGCAGAAACAGTTGATCACCCAGCACAGGGATTTGGCAGAAAAGATGGAGCATCCTTTCAGTGTCTTAGAGAAGATCTCACAGCCCAAGTCAGAAGGAGTCCTTAGAACCATGTAGGTCACCTAAACCTGGATCTCTTTCATCTATCTGCTTGGCTCTCAGCCACAGAGAGGGAAGAACACCTTAGGGTATTGTAGTGGCCCAGTCTACAGGAACTTCTCCAAGAAATACTGTGTTTGAGCCTTAAAGTTTCTGGGGATAGTTTACCCCCTATTTTCTTCTGATCTCTCTGGTATCTTCTCAGAACCTTGTCCCCTGAGTGTCCCCAAAACTCTCACTATTATCATCCTGAACCTGTCTAAGTGGTGTTAGATGTAGAGGACAGTATGTGTTCCCGTCAATTTATTTGCCTCCTATAACATCACCTTTAGAGATAGTTTCCTACCTTTGGGCAGATCTGCATGCAGCTCACTCCTGCTGACTACAGGCTCTCTTACAGTATGCATCCCTTTTCTGTGAAATGATTTTTCTTGTTATAAGAACAGATATGGGTTGGGAGTTGAACCCTGACTCATTTCTTTGTTGTAAAAATAATTATAAACTTAAGTGCTTTCATTTTATAGGCTCTCTAAAAATTCTACATTAATTTTCTGAGGGTGCTTACATTTTCCTATTGTCTAATAAAGGTCATTCATGTCTAGCCTGAACTATACTCATACTTTGCTACTCTGATATTTTCTTTCTAACATAATGTATCTAGACAACTGGAGATATGGACTGTGTTTTCATGCTCAGCACAGTGTAGTTAACACTTCATTTTCTAGTAGATTTTAAAAAGCTGAAAAAATATTCAGGCCCAGGTACGTTCTGACCCTTTTCCCTTGGGGAAAGCAGGGAATGCCCTCAGCTGAAATATCATGCTGAGTGTCCAGATGAACATGGCTGGTTCAGACTGAATAGCTGACAGGGAAAGTCCACACCACGCCTGTTCTGTAACTGCTTTCCTGCTCTAGGTCAGGAAATCTCCAGTGTGAGTTGGAAACAGTCTCAGCTCAGGAAGAGAGCCTCCTGCAGAAAGAGCTGTTACAGCAGGAACACTGATTCTCACAGGCAAGTGAGCCACCATTACCTCCCATGCACAGCAAACATAGCATTGCTGGGGGGAATAGGGGACTTGTTCTTGGCTTCCAGTGTGAATATGCCCTCATTTTTCATAACCTGTGTAGAAACTAGGCTGGCTGTGAGTCTGATTGTCTTTCCTCCTCAATAGCATATTTTTAGATAACCGAGAAGGCCAAGGAAGCCACAGACATTCTATGTCCTCAAATCAAGGCCGGCTCAGAAGAAGACATCCTCTTATAGCTGTAATTTACCAGTGAACCAAATACCAGCTGAACTGCAGGTGATCCAGCCACAAGAAGACTCATTGGTCTGTTGACTCAATTCTCCCATGGAAATGAAACCATCAAAACGGATCTTGATATGCAGAAGACCTGAGAGAATAATTCCTGGGAACTCTGGCTTTCAACAGATTGTGTAGTACAACACCATGGAGGGTATACATGGCTATACTAGCTTTCAAATATTTTTTCCATCTGGTGACTGATTTCCTACCATGATTCCAAGGCCAGAACAGGCTGTAGGTCTGTGTTGCTAAATCTGTGCCAAGAGACTGTTGTTTAACTTAGTTTATGTTGCTTTTCGGTTGGGGTTTATTTATTTTGGTTTTATTAGTATCTTTGTTTTGGTTTCAATTTTTCCATTTATTTGTTCTTCATCTTTTTGTTATTGTTGTTTTTGTAATTTGCTAATTCTACTCACTGTTTATGTTGACTGTTCCTTTTATTCTGTATTTAGTAAACTGACCTTATTTTTATGAACATAAACTCATTTGCAGCACTCGTCACTTGGAATCAATTAATTGGTGAAATGTTTTCTCTCTCTGTATAGTAGCTCCAAACCTCCTGTAACCCCAGAACTCTTGTGTGCCCAGTTCTTGTACACAGCAAGTTCCCAGTCAGCGAGGGCTATCCAAGTATTTGAATGTGGATGGTGTCGCCAACTTTCTGGATATCCATTGCATGATTGACAAAGTATCCATATTGTGCCTTATAGTCATTATTTAGCTAACTCTATAACATAGCATTCTGTATATATATCACTTGAAATATCATGTGCAACCAATTAATGAGAAACACACGAGTGTGACTATAAAGCCACTCAGGAAATGAGAACATTTACTAAGGGAGTATGAAATAAATCCACGGCCTGCTTGCTGCCTGGGGACATGACGATTTTCCAGGTTTGGTTACTGCCAAGGACCTTGTGTTGTATATGGCCCTGACACAGCTGTGGATATCCCTGTTGATATACTTTATTCCTTTTACTAGTGAGGGCCTTGCAGCAACCTGCAATCAAGATCACACATTTGACCGTGTTGGTGTTAAAGGGACATGACTCCATAGGGGTCATGTGTGTCTTAGAAGCTTGTACTGCCACCTAGGACCATGTTAGTATCAGGGCAGGTACTGTTACTGAAGGCCAAGTGTAAATTCATAGCAATACAACATCCTTGTTATTGGTTGTTACCTCAGACACTGTTGTCATCAAAGATATTGTAGAAGACTGGAATCTGGGCCACCACTGGGGACATGGTGCTGTTAGAACCTCACATATGTGAGTGACCTGCGCTGCCATCATTGGTCATGAGACATCCAAACCTGGGCTGCAGCCTAGGATCTTGTGTGGGTCCATGTTGCAAAGACAGCTGGGATTTATGTTCATGTTCACAATCTGTGTATCCACTGAGGACCACAAAGATGTAGGTATGGGTCTGGGCCATCACCTAGGACCATGTTCATATCCAAGGACTATGCTTCTGCTGAGGTCATACAGATCTGAGTAAGCAGTGATGCCACCAGGAATTCTGGTGTCCTCCAGGCCTAAGCTACTGTCAAAGGCTCTGTCTGGACCTGTGACCCTGCCAAGCCTCAGTTATATTGATGTCAGTGGTTTCTGCTACCACTGTAACAGGATAGGTTAATACAGAGTTAATCCTACCATTTACCATCTACAACATTAGTGAGAACAGGACCTGGAATTCCTCAATTGTAACACTCACGACAGTGAGTCCTGCTCCTTTTCAGCACAGTAGAACTGAATTTGTTAGCAGAAGTTCAGATGAGCTGGTCTGAGGGTGTGAGAGCAGAAGGGCTGAGTCCATCCTCATCCTACCTTGTGTTGGCTAGGGTGAGGAAAAGATGGCTGCTCCATCAGAGCATATGTCACCTTCCACTTGTGGGAGAGTTGGCCTCTGGGGCATGGTAGCAAATCATTTGGGTCAGGCTCTTACCAGCTGCAGCAATGGGTATAGTGGGTCAGTCACCTTACTGGGGAAAACAGTAGAGTTGGCCCTTAGGGTCCAAATGTGCTAAGTCAGATGCAAGTGCATGAGAGCAGAATAATTGGCCTTTCTCCATTCTGCCTGCTGAATTGAGTGAACTATTTGGAGCAGTGATGGAGAGCTTTCCTGGGTGGTTAGATGAGGAAAGATTGTGGGATAACAACAGCCTCTACCCAGGCCCAGAACCAGTCCTAAGTTATCCTTCCCTAACATAATCTTCATCTATGAACTGCATGACCATGTGAACTCCCTAATCTGCAGATCCAAAGCTGCAGGATCTCCATGACACAAGGGATCTGTAGGATATCCAAGAAGAGTGTAAGTGAAGGTCCATTATTTGCAGTGTAGAGAAGCCAGAGGCATGGAAGACTTGCAAGAAAAGATGTATGGACTGAAGGCTACACTGTGTGTGTGGCTCACTGCGCCACAATGCAGCCTCCTCACTGAGATTTTGTTTGTTTGCTTTTAATTGTGTGAAATGATATGCTACTGAAAGCAATCTAAAATTTCAATAATACCACTGTGGAAATACCAGTAGTATTATTCACAGGGATATAAAAGCAATAGTAACACTGAAATCACAAAATAGAATAGTCAAAGCTAATTCTAAGTAGAAATGGTAAGGCAGGAGATACCACAGTTTTTTATATTAATTACAGAACAGCATCATGGGAGCCAACAAAATTTTCCTCTGATGAAATAGACACATAGACAGATGGTGAATAGACACTTTTAGCAAATGGAGCTGGCAAAATAGAGATCTGTATGTAGTAGAATAAAACTATTCCTTTCTCATGCTGACAAAAACAATTAAAAATTGATCAAATCGTAAAATGCAAATACTTAAACACTAATGATGTTAGAGAAGGAAGTGAAACCACTTTAGGAGTATACCAGGAATTTATATTGTTGTTGCATTGTATCCACATAATGCTTTTTTGGTAGAATATCCATTTTTTACAAAATTGATTCATGTGATTCATGAACAAAATTTCAAGACTATTTTTCATTGACATACAAGAAAAAACCCTAAAAATGTAGGAGGAAACAAGGACCAAATAAGACCAAATCACACCTAAATAACAAGAATGCTGAGGGAGGAATCACCATTATGGATTTCAAAATATACAACAAAACCATAATGATTAAAACAGCATGATAATGATTTCAAAGTAGACATAGTCTCAGTGGAGATTCCAGGAAAAGGGGAGTCATGGAGAGAAGTAGGAGAGGCCATTAATGAATGTTCAGCACCAATAACATTGGGGACTCAAACATATTGAAATATGAGGACCATGAGACAACCACCAAGAACAGAGGAATCAGCTTAAGACTATAAGAGAATCTGTGTGTGCTGTGGATGGCAAACCTGTAGAAGTAGAGATGTCAAAGCCCTTTGGAGTCTAGAAAATCATGAGTGAGTTCCAAACATCAGACAATGTCTTATTCACTCCAATGAGTTGAGTTTTAGCTTTATCTGATTGTAGCAATTTCATGCTTTTTCAAGTTTTTTAACTTCTTTATTTGTATGAGAATCCATCATTAAGAGACTTTTGATACTTTGAGGGACCTGGAACTTTTAAAGTCTGAATTTTTTAAATAGTGGAAAATTTTAAGTGCTCCGATGTTTTATATTGTGATATTAAGGTGAGTTCCTAGGAGTCAACAAGATAGAAAAAGTTACAGTTTAATAGTGATCTGGTTATGTGTCAAATTGACAAGTGTCCAACTTGACATGAGGAATGTCACTTGTGAAGAAGAAACTCAACTGAGTAATCCTCTTAATCATACTGACCTCTAGGCATGTCTGTGGAGCATATTCTTGATTAGTGATTTATGTGAGTTGCCACAGTCCTTTGTAGGTCGTGACTCCCTTGGACAGGTGGTCACTGGGTATATAAGAAAGTAAGCTGAATCAGGGCAATAAGTGCTAGTTCTCCATGATCTCTCTGCCGTAATCCCTGCCTCTAGATTCCTATCTTAGATTCCCTCAGTAATACACTAGACAGGCGGAAAATGGAATAAATCCTTTCATTGCTAACTGGACTTTTGATTTAGTATTTTATCACAGAACAGGGACACAAACTAGGATAAAATGGT